ATCAGAGCAAAACTGAATTAAATGATTGGCAAATAAGGAGCTACCATCAGAAACATTGTGGGTCATACATGTCTGCTATTTCATTACACTCAGCAGTAACATGAAACGAACTGAATCTGTTGCGGGTTGAATCAATCTTCCGACATGTAACCGGTTTACCCATTCTCTCAGTCAAATAGGAGCATAGCGTGTCAGCGTCAAGACTAGGGGAAAATCTAGTTGCAAACACACTCACCAGCTTAGTTTTGACTACTGGAATGTTGCTCTCAGTACCGGTACCAATAATACCTATTTTCCTCCGCTGGTCCCGTTTCAAGCGAGCCGGCACAGCAGCGTTATTGGACTGCCCGGTAACGCTCGATGGCTTGTGATGCTTTCGTACCCCTTTCCTCACGACAGTGCTCCACGCTGGGGGCTGTAACAGAGGACTCGGGGTATAGTGTTCACAACACAGTTAAGTATACACTACACAATAATAAACGACTGCTGACTATATAATACACTACACAGAATATACAGTACTACAGTACTTACTATGTACTGAATGCTACAGTATAATCTAGACTGTACACTACATAGTACATTATATACTGTAGAATATGCTACACTATACTATACGCACTATACAATAAAGACTACTAAATACTTTTAAAAAGTATAATATAGTACATTGTTTAGAATACCCTGCATACTATGAACTGTACTACACTCATATGCTCCACTGCCATGCGCTAACATAATCCAAATGTTTTATCAGGCACTGAAGGTCTGCCGTGTAACACCATGTCCTATACTACACAACATAGTATACACTACACGAGAATAATAAACAATTGCATACTAAATAGTGTACTACACTGAATATACAGTACTATACTGCTTACTATTGTATGTACTGCCTACTACAGTACAATCTAGATTGTGTACTACATTGTACTAAATACTACATTATAATCTACACTGTTTAGTACATTATATACATGTACTACACTGTTAAGTATACAATATGTATACTTAATGTATGTATACTACTTACTGTGTACTGAACACTACGGTATAAATTAAACTATATAGTACATTATATAGAATATAGATATGGATATGTAGTGCACTGCATAGAATATACTACACTACTTACTGTGTACTGAATACTATGGTATAATCTAGACCAGCCCTTCTCAAAGTCCTGCACTACAAACCAGTGTGTTCATAATTAAGATAATACATTAAAATAATATGATAAGACACACCAACTTTCAATATCAAGCAGCAAAATGAACTGTTTTGTTCAGCTAAAAATAGCTGGACCGGAGTGGACGCAGATGAGACCGGAAGCCAGACCCATAGAATTTACAAATGGCCGCGCCCATTTTTATGACAAGAAAAAGGTGGATAAAGTTGAATTGTTATATAAAGTTATAAGCCTGTTTATTAAAAACAAGTTTTGCAATAGGCTAACAATTATTTCGGACATTTTGACGTTGATGAGAATTCAGATTCGGACCTTTGAATGTAAACGTTGAGAACACCTGATCTAAACTGTATAGTACATTATATAGGATTTACTGCACTATATAGTGTTCACAACACAATTAAGTATACACTACACAATATATTGCATAATAAACATCTGCACACACTATATAATACACTACATCCGATATACTACAGTACATACTATGTACTGAATGCTACAATATTATCTAGACTGTGTACTATAAAGTACATTATAAGAAATATACCACACTATATGTTATACATATAGGCTACTAAATACTTTTAAACCATATAATATAGAACATTGTATAGTTTACCCTGCATACTATGTTTTTGCAATAGGCTAACAATTATTTCGGACATTTTGACGTTGATGAGAATTCAGATTCGGACCTTTGAATGTAAACGTTGAGAACACCTGATCTAAACTGTATAGTACATTATATAGGATTTACTGCACTATATAGTGTTCACAACACAATTAAGTATACACTACACAGTATATTGCATAATAAACATCTGCACACACTATAATACACTACATCGGATATACTACAGTACATACTATGTACTGAATGCTACAATATTATCGGTTTCGTCCCGCAAGCGCGAGGTTTTTCTCGACCGACAGAGTTAGCAGCACATTCAGCTGACCGAACCGCAACAGACTTGTGAATGAATGAGTACAAAACAGCGTTTCCAAAAACCTATCACTGTTGACTGTCTGGGCATATGAACATGAATGTAGTTCGTCTGTAAATATGCACATATTTTGTTACACAGACGGACGTTTGTGCTGTATGATATATAACATAAAGTAATATAATTCACTGCCGTATAACAGCGTATTGCAGTTGTAATTCAAGATTTTAGCAATTCAGTTGAAGTGACTTTAGCTTACATTGAAGTACTATTTCAGAAAGAGAAAATATGTACATGAGAACTGCTTTATTGGCCATTTAGTTGTATAAAAATGCAGTACTTTATGTAACAGTTCAGAGAGTAAATGCAAGTACGACTTGATGACGTAATGAATATGATAATTAGCATATATAAAGTTGAATTGTTATATAAAGTTATAAGCCTGTTTATTAAAAACATGTTTTGCAATAGGCTAACAATTATTTCTGACCTTTTGACGTTGATGAGAATTCAGATTCGGACCTTTGAATGTAAACTTTGAGAACCCCTGGTCTACAGTATGAATTCAATATGGATGTACTACATTTGCCATACTGGCAACATCATGTTATCCTGCAAACAATGTTGAAAAATTGTTCACAAATTGTACCCTTTATAAGTACAACCATTTGTGACTGTGGCACTAGGCTTAAGGCGAACTCGCACTGCACCGGCAGATGTGATTGCATGTTCCATCAGTGAAAACAACAGGGGTATCATACTGATCCAACAAAACCTGACAAACGCGTCTGTTGCCATTGAGCAGCGTCTGTCGGTGAAATGTGAATTAGCATTTAAACTTTGTACTAGGGGTGGAAGAAAAAAATCGATTCTCCTATGCATCGCCATTCTCTCTTCAAAGATTCTGAATCGATTCTGAATATTTCAGAATCGATTCTGAGCTTGGTTTTTCCCCCGCAAATGGCACATGTGCGCGCTAGAGATGCGGCGGGCTTCATTGCACAGAAATTGCGCTGTGAGACACGTGCGCATTGCTTGACAGTGTGTGCTTCCACCCGCAGTGTTTTACTTTAGATAGGGCTGGGCAAAAAATGCGATTTTCATGCGAATCTAGTCAGTAAAGCCGCTTCTGGTGATTAGTAGTAAATCTCCAGCA